GGGTGTGCCGAAATGAGTGGCGGGGACGCATGCGAACTGTGCCACTGGGACCTTCGGCGGAGCTCCTATGGGGCCACAAAACGTGTCAGGGGTGTGCCGACATGAGTGGCGGGGACGCATGCGAACAGTGCCACTGGGACCTTTGGCGGAGCTCCTATGGGGCCACGAAACGCTGTACTGGGTGGGCCGAAATGAGTGGCGGGGACGCATGCGAACTGTGCTACTGGGACCTTCGGCGGAGCTCCTATGGGGCCACGAAGCGTGTGAGGCGTGTGCCGAAATTAGTGGCGGGGACGCATGCGAACTGTGCCACTGGGACCTTCGGCGGAGCTCCTATGGGCCCCGGAGCGTGTGAGGGGTGTGCCGAAATCAGTGGCGGGGTCGCATGGAGCTCCTATGGGGCCGCGAAGCGTGTGGGGGGCGTGCCGACATGAGTGGCGGGGACGCATGCGAACTGTGCCACTGGGACCTATGGCGGAGCTCTTATGGGGCCACGAAACGTGCGAGGGATGTGCCGACATTATTGGCGGCGGAGCTCCTATGGGGCCACGAAACGTGTGAGGGGTGTGCCGAACTGTGTGGCGGGGACGCATGCGAACCGTGCCACTGGGACCTTCGGCGGAGCTCCTATGGGGCCACGAAGCGTGTGAAGGGGTGTGCCGAAATGAATGGCGGGGACGCGTGCGAACTGTGCCACTGGGACCTTCGGCGGAGCTCCTACGGGGCCACGAAACGTGTGAGGGGTGTGCCGAAATAGTGGCGGGGACGCATGCGAACTGTGCCACTGGGACCTTCGGGGGAGCTCCTATGGGGCCGTGAAACGTGTGAGGGGTGTGCCGAAATGAGTGGCGGGGACGCATGCGAACTGTGCCACTGGGACCTTCGGCGGAGCTCCTATGGGATCACGAAGCGTGCGAGGGGTGGGCCGAAATGAATGGCGGGGACGCATGCGAACTGTGCCACTGTGACCTTCGGCGGAGCTCCTATGGGGCCACAAAACGTGTCAGGGGTGTGCCGACATGAGTGGCGGGGACGCATGCGAACTGTGCCACTGGGACCTTCGGCGGAGCTCCTATGGGGCCACGAAACGCTGTACTGGGTGGGCCGAAATGAGTGACGGGGACGTGTTGTTGATGATGATGATGATGATGATGATGATGATGATGATGATGATGATGATGATGATGATGATGATGATGCTGACGATGACGATGACGATGACGATGACGATGACGATGATGACGATGATGACGATGATGATGATGATGGTGGTGGTGATGATGATGATGATGATGATGATGATGATGATGGTGATGATGATGATGATGATGATGATGATGATGATGATGATGACGATGAGAGGAGGGGAGGAGGGAGGAGGAAGGAGGAGGAGACGCGGGGCGACGTCTCTTCAAAACGAGGACCCAACACCACAGGCTGGTTGGGAAAAGCGAGCTGAAGGCAGCGGGGGGGCCCGCGGCCAGCCTGGCGTTGACGATGATCGAGACACTGATCAAGCTGGACATGGACGGCGGCCTCAAAAGGCACTCCGCGACTACCTCGACGCGTGCCAGCCGCCCGACGACGCGGCCCCCACCGTCGCCGAGACAATGATCGAGGAGCATGTCACGATGATCAAGGTCGAGAAGTGCAATGACGAGAAGATGACGAAGGTTCTGCTGGTCGCGCCACAGCGGGACATCCGCGGCGACCTCCTTACCGTCATGAAAGCGAAGGGCGCGATGAAGCACCGCCTGGAGATCGCGCCGCCTGGATGGGTGGAGGAGGAGCTAACTGTCAAGCTCGACGCACCAGGCCGCACGTGATTAGATTCGGCCCCGGGAAAATTTTAGCAAGCACGATCCACACCTCCTCCTGGGCCTCCTTCGCCTTTCGAGCCCGAGCCAGCTAGTTAAGAGCAGCACGAGCCAACCGACGATGAACGCGAAGCGATCGTCTTCCTTGATGAGGGCGCCGAGTTCGAGGCTGCCCAGTTTCTATTTGGATGAACCCTGTCGTCGTGGGGCACGCCCACCCTTCCAGTTTGCGCTCGAGCGTGCACCGCGCCTGCACGCCAATAACATCCAGGAAACTGCATCCTGGCAGCGGGTTCCATATGTTGCGCTGTAGACTACATCGGACGACCGTCTCTGACATCACAGCCCCCCATGCTGATGAAAAAGTCGTCGTTGTCGTCCGTCGTCTTCCGTCGTCCTCGTCCTCGTCGTCGTCATCATCGTCGTCGTCCTCAGCGTCCTCGTGGTCGTCTTCGGTTGCCCGGCTCACCACCGCCATCCGCCTGCTCTATGAGTTCATTTCTGGGCCGTGCCTCGCTCCATCGTCGGGGAACCTATGGTCGAGGGTATCCGTGGCCACAGAAGCCCCTTTACCCTTATTTGACGCTCGTTGTGGCCAGGCCACACTCGCAGCCACAGCCAGGGGGAGACGGGGGAATAGGGAGGGGGGCGAGGAGGAGGAGGAGGAGGAGGAGGACCAAGGGAAGGGGAGGAGGAACGGGGAGAGAAAGAGGGTTATCTGCACTGCCGCGCAAGGTTTTGTGGGCAGTCACCACGGGGCGTGATGGTCGCAACCGCGCTGTGGTGCTCCCAGACGCGCGGTGCACGCACTGTGGCGTTCACAAGCGTACGGTGGCGTTCGCAAGCGCATTGCGGTGCTCCCAAACGCACTGTGGTGCTCGCGCTGTGGCATGGTCGTTGCAGGCGCACGCTGGTCGTCGCAGGCCATCGCGGCGTTCGCATGTGCCTTGCCAGTGTTTTCAGGCCTTGCGCGCGCGATCGAAATCCAAGGCCACTGTTGTGTTCGCAAGCATAGAGTGCTGGTCGGGCGCAGACTATTGCGATCACGGCGCGCCCCCACCAAGACGAACCCCACCCCGCCCGAGCGTCACCATTACCCGGGGCACAAAAATTCCACCCCCGGGTAACGATCGTTAATTACCGGCGAGAATCATAGGCTATCTTTTTCTCGAGGTAGGATGTGGGTGGGAGCATTTCGCCGTTCTGGACATGCTCACCGATCTGGGTTTCGAGATGGGCCCTCGGTCACGGTCGAGGATCCATGGACATGTCCATTCAAGAAGCGACAAGAAGTGGGCGAGCCGTAACCGAGCTATTTTACGCACGCGTATACTGACGGTTGGACGTTGACTGAGCTGTACCAGTCGAGGGTTGTCAGCGTGTTGCCACACAAGGCCCAGCTGGTGCACCTGCCCTGCCGCTTCATCTCCGACGAAATGGCGTTGCCCACTTGTTTTTTCGAGCACCAGGGGCTTGGCTGGCCGAGGCCTCAATGTTGTCTGCAGGAGTTGGGACTGCCGAGTATCCCGAGCGTCGAGGTTGTGGCGCTGGCAATCCGGATGCGGGCGGCATCAGACACGCTCATTTTCTGGCACTGGGTGAGCGACGAGTTGATGTGCCGCGCGCGCGCCCTGCTCTTTGCTATGAGGTGGTCTGCCTCATGTTGCTGGCCGTCGTGGTGACTGAGCCCAGCTCCCGCGACGGCGCTGTCCGAGGCGGCCTGTGCCCTGGCTGCCGTGGGCTCTCGTCTCAGCCGTGCTGCAAGGGGCGCGTTGCGAGAGTTCGGGGAGGCAAAGGAGTCTGCTTCCTAGCGCCCGTGCTGCGTTCGCGGATGCCTTGTATGATTCCGCTCTTGCAGGCTCCGCCGCGCCACCGCCGCCCCCACCTGTCCCGCGCGCCCATCGTTTACTCTCCACCTCCTTTGCCAGCCTTCCTGTCTCTAGTTTGGAGAAGTCCTGCATCAGGGAGCGGGTTGGACGGTGGTTTGGGGTCGCGGGTGGAGCTTTCGAGGCATGTGTTCATTGGGGGCGTTGGAGGGAGTTCTGCCGAAGGCTCCTCCCTCGTTGCGTTTGGGGGCTTTCAAGACGTCGACGGTTGAATGGATAACGGCCACTAGGATGCGTAACGTGAGGGTTGTAGGTGTATCTTGGGGTGTGGGGCGGTTCGGATTATCTCCGACATCATCTCTGATGTGCCCGCCTTTCAAAGCTTGTAGCTCGAACTTTGGCGGCCTGTTCATGGCCAGCGATTCTCTCAGGAGGTTCGGCTTTTCGAATCCCTTGGAATCTAGCCTCCGTGGCATTGCGCTTCTATTTCGTCCCCATCGTATGCTTCAGGCCGAGGCTAACAGGAAGGATTTGGCTACAAATCCCCTGGATGTGCCCCGCGCCATCGGCACGATTGTTAAGATGGCAACCGATTTGCCAAATGAGTAGGTGGAAGGCCGAAGCCATCACCGACGTTGTGCGTCCTCCTCCTCCTCCTCCTCCTCCTCCTCCTCCTCCTCCTCCTCCTCCCCCTCCCCCCTTCCCGCTCTATGATCTCTCCTCCTCCTCCTGCTCATCCACCTCCTCCTTTTTTTCCATCTCCTCGCTCTTGGCTTGCTCTTTCTTAGGTGTTACCATGCTTCTCCTGTTCCTCCCTCTTCTCCTCACCTGGCCTGTCCTCTCCTCTCCCCTCTCCCCTCTCCCTCTCCCCTCATCCTTCTCCTCCTCCCCTCTCCTCTCCTCCCCTCTCCTCTCCTCTCCTCTCCTCTCTCCTCTCCTCTCCTCTCCTCTCCTCTCCTCTCTTCTCTCTCCTCGTTCGCGTCCTCCTCCTCCTCCACCTCATCCTCCTCTTCCCACTTCTCTCTTATATCCTTCTGCCTCCGCCTGCGCTCCCCCCCCTCCTCCTCCTACTCCTCCTCCTCCTCCTCCTCCTCTTCCTCCTCCTCCTCCTCCTCCTCCTCCTCCTCTTCCTCCCCCTCGTCACGGCTTCCTCCCCGTCCCCGGCGGGAAAAGTGCCATGCAGAGGGCGGAGAGAGGGAGGGAGAGAGAGAGAGAGAGAGACAGAGAGAGAGAGAGGAGGGAGGCGGCGGGGAGGGGCCGAAACGCGGGGGGGAGGGGGAGGGTTCCGAGGAAGAGGAGGCGGGGGTGGAGCAGGCAAACGAGGCAGAATGTGTGTTTGCCCTTATGATTCCGAGAGGATGAGGCGACGAACTTGTGGAAGAACTGGAAGCCGGCCGAGGACCCCCGCTCGCACAAGGACCCTTTGTGGCTTGCAGGAGGTGCAGGGGGAGGCAACGGAGGAGGAGGAGGAGGAGGCGAGGAGAAGGAGGAGGAGGAGGAAGAGGCGAGGAGAAGGAGGAGGAGGAGGAGGAGGAGGAAGAAGAGGACGAGGAGGAGGATAAGGAGGAGGGGGGGAAGAACCAGCGTCAGCTGTTATGTCCCGAAGGACGGCTTGCGCTCCGCGCGAGCCCACAGATCTGAGACGCCTGGCCACTGGGGCCAGGCCCCGCGTCTGACGGTCCAGGGGCGCCACGGCTCGGTTTCACAGCCAATCCAAGCCGCGAAGCCGGGCCCTCAGCTCTCCGAGCCGAGCCCAACCGTGGCGACTCTGGAGATCGGCCGCGACTCTTGCCATGTCCGCAGCACATCGCGCCAAGCCGAGCTCAGAGCACCGCAGGGGCCAAGAGCACATCCGACCGAGCCAAGCCCTCCGCGGTCCGCACCTTACCCCTTTTTCTCGTCGGTGGCCGTGCAGATTCTCGTCGGTGGCCGTGCAGATCCAGGTGCCCATGGTGTCCATCGCCATCGGCCTCCCGATCTTTCCCCCCCCAGCTTCAGCAGGAACGCGGGTCGAGGCCGCGTCCGCGCCCAGAACAAGGAGCCTGTCTTCCTCTTCCGCCTCGGCCGCGGCATCGTGGCTCTTCCGTGCAGCACCCCTCATGAGTGCCCGTGGCCTTGCTGCCCGAGGCGCACCTGGTTTCCCACATCATCAGCACCCTCGGCGACTCGGCCACCCGTCTCAACAAGGGCACAGTGGGACGAGCGGCCCCGAAGCCATTGCCCGCCGCCCGGCGCCACTGGGGCACTGTTGGAAACGAGCGGCCCCGAAGCCACTGCCCGCCGCCGCTCGCCGCTCCGAAGCCGTGGCGGCGAGGCCCGAGCCCACGTCGCTGTGGGAAAGAGTTTGGACTCGGTCGGTCAGCGCGAAAACGCCTGACTCCGAAACGGATAAATGGAAAAGTGGAACAGCTGATCAATGAGTCGGAAAAGTGGAAAAGCACAAGAGAAGTGGAAAAGCGGAAAAGTGGGAAAGTGGAAAAGTGCGGCGGCAATTGGAAAAGTGGAAAAGTGAAAAAGTGGAAAACGCAAAGAAAAAACAGAAAAGTGGGAAATTAGAAAAGTGGAAAAGTGGGAAAGTGAAGCACTCTCCACATTTCCACTTTTCTACTTGTCCGCTTTTCCACTTTCCCACTTTTCCAATTATTTTTCCAGTTAATCCTCACGAGACTCCGGCGCTTGCAGCCGGGCTGCAACACCGCCATCGGCGCCATCCAAACCCCAGACGGCAATCTAGCACACACGCCCCACGACATCGCACAGGAACTTGGGAAACGTTGGAGCCGGGTCTTCACGCGACAACCGATCAACCCTCACATCCTGGAGCGCTGGATTGCCTACCTCCCGCAGTTCCGACCAGCCCCTCCCCCGACGCCGACATCAGACGCCTCTCCGACCCACTCTGCCGCTACAGACCATCCCCCTCCCCGCCCGACGCCCCTCCCTTAACGACAGCCGCCCGCGCAACCCACAAACCCACTGCCGCAGACAGGCCGCCCACGTCGTCACCACGCCCGCCCACCCTTAGACATATCCCCAAGCACGTGGGGATTACGAGAGGAGGATGTGGAGTCCGCGGTGCAACACTCGGGCAACAGCATGCCCGGCCCAGACGGGATCCCATACGTAGCTTGGCGGCATAGCGGACAGATCGCCATCAGGGTCCTCTGGGACGCCGCCGACGCTCTACAGAGCGCTTCGGGGGAGACCTACCTCCACGAGTTGAACGACGACAGCGACACAGCTCGCCACGACTTCAACTTGGGAACCCTCGTGTGCTTGGGAAAAAAGAAATTGACCAGCGACCCGACCTATGGAGATGTCTACACGGCGGACAGCACACGCCCGTTATCCATCGTGAACACAGACAACAGGATCATAGCGAACGCTGCGCGGGGCCGCTGGGAACCTGTCCTCAATGCGTGGGTCGGCCCACCACAACAGGGCTTCTGCGGCACCGCTCATTCGTGAAAAACGTGCTCGACGTCGACTTTGCCAGCATGACCACAGCACTCCAATCTGACTCCGGCGCCATTATCCTCTTCGACTTCGCATCTGCATTCCCGTTGCTTTCGCAAGAATACTTACGCGAGATGCTGCGCCACTTGGGATTGCCTACGTTACGTCGGCCCGGCATTTTGTGAAGCACTTGTAAGACAACAGCCGGTGTCAGATTCAGAGCCAAGGGCAAACCTTACCGGGGTTCCCCCTGACCGCTGGCGTCAGGCAATGATGCCCATTGTCTCCTCTGCTGTACGCCATCTGCGCGGAGCTGTTGCTGGACAAGATCGAGGCCACCTGTCCAGGCATCTTGGTACGTGCTTATGCTGACGACACCGCCGCTGATACTACAAATCTTTGGGAGGACGCCCCCCGACTGGCAGCCGTCTTCGACGAGTTCGCAGCCATGTCCGAGCTGCGATTAAATTTGCAGAAAACTGTCGTCATTCCGTTATTCGCATCCCCGCTCCCGACGGTGCGGTCTCACCTCGACGCAGTCGTGCCGAGCTGGTCTACCATCCAATTGGCGCTTGCAGGGAAGTATCTGGGATTCTATGTGGGCCCGGGCAGCCGGGACTTGCTCTGGAAGGGCCCGGTGGCGAAGTTCCAACAACGTGCCTTTCTATGGGCAGGCCACCCGCTGGGGCTTCATTGCTCTGCGCTTGCATACAACACGTTTGGGATATCGGTATTGGCCTTTGTGGCGCAATTCAGCGAGCCGACGGAAGAGGCCTTCAACGCAGAGTTGCAATGTCTGCGGCGAGCCGCTCCTGGGCCAGGTAACTGGGCCACCCCGGAAGATCTATGGTGGCTGCAACATTCGTACATTTTTTCGAGTGCTTTCCGAAGTCTGCAAGTCACCGCGCAAGCAGCACAACTACGCGTGCGACTGTGGGACGCAGCCTGCGGCGACCACCCTGCTGACCCAGACGCGCCTCTGGACTTCCACCTCCCAGGAGACGGCGCGCGCCCCGCTGCCCCTGTCGACCCACCCCCTCACGCCCCTAACAATACACACCACAACTGCACCTTCAACCGACGCACCCGGTTCGGCCCGGCTCCTCAGATCATCACTTCTGGTGACCACCGACCGCTCACAGGAGCGATCCATGTGGAAGCGATGGTTCCAGCACTCCTGCCACCTCCGCTTGGACACAAACTTCTCGAGCATGACAGCGCTCCTGGGGACACCCGGCGAGTTCTTCCGCTCCATGGCACCGACGCGCCCCGCGCCGTGCACCGTGAAGGATTGGAGGCACCTTCGCGCTCGTTTTCAGTCTACTGTGCAGGCTCGCCCGTTGCAGGCGCGCGCTCCGCCAGCCGAACATCGCAGCAGGCACAAATGCCGACGTTGGTACCTCAACCTGCCCGACCACGCCCACACTACCAGCTTATTCCCGGCCCGACAGCGCACGGAAAATTGGCACGGCCGGGCTGCTCTCCATCACCTTCGAGAGCTGGAGAAGTTGGTCGCCCCAAGGTTTCAATCGGCGGTTTTCAGCACGATGGCGACAGCGCGTCGCTTTCAAAGACGCCAAATGCGCCTCCTGTGCAGAGGGCCTCACACCCAGGGCGCGATTGAGCATTGCGCGAAGTGCCCGGTGGTGAAGAAACTTGCTGCGCAGTTCTTACACCTCGACCCAGACCAGTTCGTGAGCCCCCATTCTTTTTTCATGGTGAATCCGTTGGCCAACACCAAGGAAACCCTCGCGACCATCGCCCATCTAGTTTATGCGACGTACAGGTGCACGAGCTGCCAGCGACATGCCCAGACCCCTCTGCCGACGACAGCCCTTCACGACGCAATGACACAATGGGTTCGCGAAGGCGTTCGAGGACACGGTCCTTCCACCCACATCTTGGCCCGACGTTGGATTCCGAGCGCCCCCCATCCATTGCGTCCAGTGCCGCGATACCACCGGAACCTCCAGTACCAACCACTGACCCACAGCAGTCCCGCAACAACCGAGCCACGCAACAAATTCGAACCACGACCGACCCGCACCAACCGACCCACGCAACAACCTCCAATTGCGGCCGACCCACTTCTGATCCACAGCAGACACGCGCAACGCTGACGGCGCCCGACGCCGTTCCGACGACGCCGCCGCCGTTACGACAGGTGCCTGGCTGGCGCCCGACGGCCGCCCGACGGCGCCCGACGCCATTCCGCCGACGCCGCCGCCGTGACGACAGGTACCCGACTGGCGCCCGACGCCGCCGCCGTTACGACAGGTGCCCGGCCGACGCCCGAGGGCCGCCCGACGGCGCCCGACGCTCGTCCGACGACGCCACCGCCGTGCCGACTGGCTCCCGACGACCGCCCGACGGCGCCCGACGCCGTTCCGACGATGCCGCCGCCGTCATGACAGGTACCCGGCTGGCGCCCGAGGGCCACTCAACGGCGCCCGACGGCGCTCGACGCTCGTCCGACGACGCCGCCGCCGTTGCGACAGGTGCCAGGCTGGCGCCCGACGGCAGCCCGACGGCGCCCGACGGCGTCCGAAGCCGTGCTGACGACGCCGCCGCCGTTACGACAGGTGTCCGGCTGGCGCCCGACGGCGCCCGACGCCGTTCCGACGACGCCACCGCCGTTACGACAGGTACCCGGCTTGCGCCCGACGACAGCCCGACGGCGCCCGACGGCGCCCGACGCCGTTCCGACGACGCCGCCGCCGTCACGACAGGTGCCCGGCTGGCACCCGACGGCAGCCCGACGGCGCCCGACGGCATCCGACGCCGCTGCGACGCCGCTCCGACGACGCTGCCGCCGCCGTAATGACAGGTGCCCATGGACTTGCCGACGCAGGTGGCTATGACAAACCTTGACCCACAATCGACCCACATGGCGCTACTTCCTGCACCAATGGTGCACTCCAGATGGGGCGGAAATTCGGGCAGTTGTTCACGACCGTAACC